TATACAAGTCGGTATTATCATACAGTTCTCTTATCACATCATCAAGAGACAAGGAGTACTCTAAATCATGATAGTTGCCAGTTACAACCGCCATCTGACGATTGTTCATCGTCAAGATTGATTACAAAGGGTACAATGTCATTTAAAACAAAACCGCCATTGTAATCGAATCCGGCCTCGGAATCAGCTTCTTCTCCGCTGTCCGTGCCTTGGATCGATGGTTCCGTGTCAGATTCGTTACCATAAAGGAGAGAATCAGTGAAGTAATTCTCATACCCTTTGAATGGTTGCTTATCTGCGACCACCGTCCTGACCCTTCCATCAGTGTCGACATATTTCAGACATTGATGTAAGGTGGAGGGAACTATAACATTACTATGGATCCAAGGCCGACCCAATAGTAAATTATAGGATGTCTCAGCATCTATCACGTAACACGTGACCTCCGTCTTCAGATCGCTCATTTGGCATTTTATTCGGATTTTCCCCAAAGGCCTTGACCCGCTTGTGTTGAATCCATAAATGACTGTGCCTGTAGATGCCAATTTGCTGACTGGAATGCCAAGGCTATGCATCAGGCGAAGCGGCATAATGCTCACAGCGAAACCCAGATCTACTTGGATTCGGTTGACCTCGCTGGAGCCAATGTACCCGACAAAATACAAGGGTCGATCATGGTTTGAATTCTTCGTCTGCATGTCTTCTTTGGTGAAGGTGATGCAGGGAATGTTCTTAGCTGCCACATTGCACTGTTGAGCTAACAGTTCTAGTTCCTCAGGCGCCGGTTTGATCCGAGTGAGGAATGCTTCTGAATCGGCCAAGGCCTCTTGCAATGCTTCTCTAGTTTCTTTAGACAGCCGCAGCAACTCATATAGCGTTATCCGCGCTGGGATATTAGGTAGTTGAGCCATGATGTCGAAGGCGCGCGGAGTTTTCGAACTCTCCGGTTTGTCTTTTCCAATCGGGCGACTGAAACGAGACTGCTTCGGATTCTGCACCTCCTGGGGCCTCTTTTCTTTCTGTTTATCTACTGGCTGTTGTCGAGCCTCTGCTCCTTCTTTTCTTTATGTTTATCTACCGGCTGTCGTAGAGCTTCTTTACCCGGTGTGGGACTCGTAATCACCCCCATCTCCGTAAGAGTTTTGGCTGGTCCCCGTTTGTTCACCCCCTGCTCACTAGGTGGCGGATAGTTGTAGTAATACTCGTTTCCGCTTCGGGTCGCAAATACTTCCTGTTCTTCGTCGGAAAGCGGGAACGTGGGGATTCTTTCATCATCTTCCCCTAGGATGGCAGAGACTCCATAACAAGACTTCCCTTTCCCTTTAGACTTCCTCCCGGATGACGACCCGGCCCATTGTTCATCTCCAATCAGATCGGGGTGAACCCAAAGGATTTCGCCATTTGGGGCTGGTGTGCGGCACAAGTCCCTTTTGGCGCTGTCCGTGCGGATCGTCATTCACCGTCTTCATCCCGACTTTGGTGACGCGTTTTGGCTCAAACCAAGTTGTAGGCACCGATCCAAAACTGATTAACACTGCGTTTGCCCCCACATTCTTGGCTGGTTTCGGGGTTATGACCCCTACGTCGATTAACGCCTGGATCTTGTCCTTGAGGTGGTAGCATGATCTCGTAGGGTGGTGGACCGCTCTGTGGTACGCGCAGTACTTTGGATCCGTCACCTTGCTGGCTCCCTCTTGATCCACGATCGCCGGCAGCTGGATTTTGTTGTTCTCCAACAAGTATTTGAAGATGCCGGGAACTTCATCATCTTTGAAGGAGTAGACTTTGGGAAACCTTGGCTCCGAAGATTTCTGCTTCTGAGGCCGTTGTTGCCATTGTCCTCGAGATTGTTGGGGTGCTTGTTGCTGTGGCTGCTGTTGCTGTGGTTGCAATTGAAAGGTTTGATTAGCATCAACTGCATTAGCTTGTGCCTTACCTTTCCCCCGTGGGACGAAGTTTTGCTTTGGAGCACTTGTCGCCGGTTGGCCTCTTTCCGCCTTCTTCCTCTTGAGGAATCGCTCAGCTTGCTCTCCCCGGACTTTCAAGTCCTTCCATGTATTGGATGGTGCTGTCCCCATTGCTTCTAGCACGTCCAACGAAAGGTTGTTGTGGCAGGTCTGGAGGATGAATTCCTCGGTAATCGGGTCCCGACAATTCATCGCCTTGTTCCGGAACCTTTTGACGAAGGTGCCGACTAACTCCCCGTCTTTCTGCTTCTCGTCGAGCAGCGATCCGATAGAGATTTCGGTGTCATCGTCGAAGAAATTTGTGAGGAACTTCGTCTCCATGTCGTCCCAGCTGTTTATGCTTCCTGGCTTGAGGCGGCGATACCAATCGAAAGCAGCTCCGCGAAGAGTGCCGACGAATGACCGCA